GAAAAATAAATAGAAATTATTTTTACAGAATTTTTTGTTATACGAGCTAAAGGATTTGCCCAAAGTATGGGTACAGTTAAGCGACAAAATAAGCGATTAACTAATAAACAGTTAAATAAAGTTTGGTTTTCATATTTAAGAAATTTGATAATTTCAACATAGCATTCTTTTGGTAATTCTTTTAGCATTTACCAATGATATCAAAAAATATAATGATGTGTATGAGCTCTGTAAAAAAATTGGTTGAAAAAAATTAATACACCAACAAATTAAATAGATTTTTGTAACAATTATACATTAATAATAAATATTTTAAAGAAATAAATAATCTTATTTTATTGATTAAGAACTATGTATGTTTTATTGAATTCTAATTTTATCACAATCGATTGATTAATAAAATTCTATAAGACAATATAAATTTAATAACATTACTACAAATACAGAAATTTACCAATGTGATGATTTGATCAAACATTAATTTTTAGATTTTCTGCTTTTTTAATTTGTGAATTGTTTATTTGAGTAAAAATTTACTAATTGATCAGATCTAAATTATTAATAAAAATAATTTCTTTAATTTCTTTGAAGTGTAATTTAAATGAATTGAAAATGTCTTAATTGAAATAGCTAAATCTCCATATATGTGCAGAATGTTACTTTCTACAATACCCAACCGTTGAATGTAATTCTTATGAATAGGTCTGCCTTTTTAAAGAGCCAATAGTTCTAATTTTTGTATTATCACTTTGTAGGCTTTTTATTTTTTTTTTTTAATTTGTGAATTGTAAAAATATGTATTCTTATATATCTGATATACCCAAATCGAGCAATGTTGGTTAGAATGTTTTATGTGTATTTAATAAGGTTAATTACAAAAGTATGACAAAAAGATTAATTTTTAAATTCTCAGAAAATGATATGATATTTGTGTGTCTTAGTGGTGAAACTGACAATAATTCAAAGTATATATACCTATACGCTTTTTATGTAGATCTTTTCCATTTTAGTTTCTAAATTTGGGTAAAATATAAATTTGGGCAGAATTAGAATATAAATTTTGGGATGTTGTGAGTGAAATTTGAATGTGAATTTGAAATTAAGTTGCGTTAGACTGAAATATGATTTTGAGATGCGTCAGATCAATTCACTTATAATGCGTTTTAAGCGAACCAACTTTTATTAATTTATGTCTAAACAATAGTAAATCTAGTAGATATTCACTTAAATTTAATTTTACGCGACACTATTTTAAACCTATGCCAATTCTAATCAGAGTTCCACATTATCTTTGTTTAATAACCCTTAAAACCTCGTAAGATGCTATCAGATGCTTTCCTAACATATTTAAACTTTCATAAGTTGAATCTTCAACCGTACAATAATTCGAATTACTCTGAATATACAAATCGGTGTTTCCAAATCTCGGACTGTTTGAAGTACTACAACCAATAGCCTTTTTTTCGAAACCTGATTTAATTTTTAGTTTCTTATATATATGACTATTTTTGTTTTTATTTTTTTGAAATAGAAAACTATCACTAGTTTTTTTCCAAACATTTTCACCTTTCCAATCTAATGGATTATAACCACCTATTAAATCACCATCAGTTAATTTAATAATTACTATAGTGGGCCCTTTTCCATCACAGTTTTTATGAAAAGTTTTTGACTTTAAAACATCATACTTCATATTAAATAAAAGTTCAAACTTGTACCAACACTTATGATATTCTTTTCCGCTTATCCAATTGACTAAGTTTTTGGCTGTGTCTAAATCTAAAATTTCAGATCTGAAACAAAAATTACCATCTCGAAAATCATAGTAATTGTTTTTGGAAGCTTCAAAATGGTTTTTCATTTCGTTAAGTATATCAGTATTTATTTTTTTCCGTTTAAATTTACGAATTATATCATTAATTTCATCAGTAGTAATCTGGTTGAACCTTATACATTTTATTAAATATTTCTTATCTGGAAATCCGTTTGTATCTAATCACCATTGAATAACTCTGCTTAATAACAAGTGTTCTTCAGGATATAACTCTGACATCGATATTAATTCATAGAGAATATTTTCAGGAATTTGTTGATTCTTAAAATCGAATAATAACTCCAGTTTCAAACACAAACCATTTAACAATATTTTTTCATATCGTCATACAAAATGAATATTCTAATAAATTCTAAAATTAAAATAGGGTTGTTTTTCATTATAGTTATAATATTTTCGATGAAATATGACTTCAGTCCATTGCGTAATTCCATAATGCCCATTTCGTTCACGAGCGAAAACGTATGTAAAAGTGTTCTTGTATCATAGGTTGTATTTAAGTCTGCACCATAAAGAAATCTTATGATAATATTCATTGAATCGGATGTGGCATTTGGCTTGTATATAACAAAATCTTCACCTGACTGTTGATTCTAGCGTTGTGATAATGCACGTTTAAAATATTCAGAATGTACCTTAAGTATAAAAGAATTAGCATAAATTATTTCAGTTTTTCCTTTTTCACCAACAATTATCTTGGTATCGCAGAAATGTTTATTTTCATAAGATGAAATCAAATCATTTAAAAGCTTTTCTTTTGTTTGTTGTAAACAGGACATTTTAAAGTTAACTACATTTTAAAGTAACTGACAACTAAAATTCATATTTATATATATTTAAACAATTTTGTTGAGATGTGAACTGAATATTGAATAAATAATATAAATAACCACGAGCTTTTTTAATTAAAATTTTTGAAATTTCCTTTTCATTTATATCACTCACGTGATAATGCTTGTTAAATTAGTTCAATTAAAAATTATTATTTTAAATTAAATGATTGAACAAAATTTTTAATAAAAGTATTAGCCAATCACCTATTTTTTTCCGCTATTATGTTTTGCTTTATTAACAATTAAAGGTTTATTTTGCTCAAAATAATTTTAAAAAATTGTCGATTTGGTTATTCGAATATTCTTGCATTAAATCTTGCAAATATAGTAATTAAACTTTCATTTTAATTTACGAGAAGCAATATTAATTATAACACTTTCTACAATACAAAAGATTTAATACGTAACAATAATGACAATGTCAATCAGAAATCAATCAGAAATTTACGTGTGAATATCCCTGCTAAATATTTGATTTTTGTATTATAACCATTCTTTTTTTAATTCGTGAATATAAAATTTTACTAATTGATTAGATCTAACTAAATTAAAAAATACTTTTCGTGAAGTAAAAGATTAAATACAATTGACAGTAGTGATGGGACTAACCGGGGTTAAAAAAGGAGGTAGATTAATTGTCACGTACTGTATTATATAAAATACTTATTTAAAATTATTTTTTCAATGGTCACGATGCGTGACAATTAAACAACCTCCTTTTTTAACCCTGGTTAGTCCCATCGCTAATTGACAGTAGTTCAAATTCTACTAATTTTGTCGTTATTTATAGATTTTATTAATTTTATCGTTATTTATAGATTTTATTACTGTATAGTAATTTAAGTAGTCATATATATTTCAATTGAAATATTTAAACCTCTATTTACGTGCAGAAATGAATGTTAAGGCTTTATTTTATTGACTATAAAATACAATCGTTGAACGTAATTTTTGCAATAAAGATTTTCATTCAAATAATTGAGGAAATAAATGACCTTTACTTTTAATTTCGTGAATTATAAAAATATATATTTACACATCTAAGATACCAAATCAAGTGCATCATTAATTGGTTAGAATGTTTTCTATATATTTTCTTTAAATGATTCATAAGAACAAAAAAAAATCGAATTAATACTTTAAAATCTTTTAAAAGGTTATTTATAAAGCATGGCAAAATCAATTTTTAAATTCTCAGAAAATGATGTGGCTGTGAGTCTTAGTGGCGAAACATGGTCTGCAAGAGAAATTCAGAAGTATGACATACCAAATTATGAACATTTATTATCTGATATAAATGTTGTGCGTCAAATTAGAATAGGCGTGGGTTTAAAACCGAGTTGCGTCAAATTGACATTTAAGTTTGAGATACGTAAAATTAAAATTTTCAACTTGCGTCCAATTAAAATAATAATTTATACATAACGATAAAGCAGAAAATAGCAGATAATTCAAATAACCATACAAATTATTCAATACATATATTCAACACATATATTAAACGTGATTTTTATTATTGCACATCTTTCCACCATGGCATTTACTTCCACACCCAACGTTAGATTTTTTGCAATGATATTTATTAGTATTACAGTTGCCTTTACACTTGCATATCATTCCCGTAAGTATGCCAGTATTCTGACTTCGTGCTGCTTCTCTAACGGATATATGATCTGATGGAATATCATCCAATTCTGGATATTCTTTTACACCTAATGGCTCCATCTCACCAGCACAATATAAGTTATTCAATATTCCGTCTTTGCACCCAAGGCGATATTTAAATGTATCATTATAACTTAACTTCTCTAAGACTTTACATGGAAGAATTGGTCGATCTGTACCAAATCGATCAATTTTAGGGATAAGAATTTTAATAAATTCTCTAATTTCATATTCTAATCTACGCTTTGATCTTGCAATCATTGCAGAGGTCATTTTGGCTATATAATTTTCTAAATTTTGGCAAGCAAAATCTCGTAATACTTGATGCCTTGTTAATGATTGATTAGATATATCTTGTAATGGTAATGGCTATACATAAAAAAAAGGTTACAAATTAAATTCAATATAATACTTGTTCATGTGGTTTATGATTAATAGAAATCAAGCCGATTTATTTAATAAATCTGCTTAATTTCTATTAATCGTAGATTACATATAAA